GTTAACTTGTATTGATCAGGTACCCCTCTCGGCACCCCAATAGCATCGAAATAAACAGGGGATCCTTCTGTTAGGCTAAATTCTCTTTTACTGCGACTGAATGAATTACGCCTTTTTGCCTCGTTACTCAATGTTTCAGCGGTTATTGGAACTATTTTAAGCGGAACGATGAGGGAAACTGAGATGCATTTCCCCTGCCACTCAGCTGACAGTACATTAAGTAATCTCCTACCGCCGCAGTACCAGTAGATATCAGAGCGGGCCTGGGTCAATTTGGTCATATTTGTCCAGGTGGTTACATCAATTGTCACATTGCACCATGAATCGGTTAAGGAACCTACGTTCAGTCACCCTTTAAGATGGGAGGGATTGCTTGTGGTTGTGATCCTGGAAAAATAGTTACCCACGACTTGCAACCTTCACTTGGATTCTCTCTAGTATGTAATTCTATCAGGCAGTCAATGTTACCGGCCTGGCTAAGGACCGAAGGCACTGTCCATAGGCTGGGTCTTGCACCTGCACAGGCCACACAGTCAGCGGAGTCCATTTGCTGGGACGTAGTTGTGATCCAATCCACCCAGTAATTTGTCTGGGAGAACCCCGTCTCTGCGGAAAGTTTGTCGTGGATCACAGCTAGATCTTTTGCTATATTTTGGCCCTTGGGGTTCTCAGTGACTTCTTCAGCCTCAGCAGTAGTGGGTTTCCCCTCAATGTCAGGTGACACGTATTTAAATTTAATCAAAGCCAATGGATCTTTATCGGCTACATCTACTCCTATAACCATGTACCACTGAGTAGGATCACTCTTCTCATGACTCATACCGTAATAGGTGCCCACTGCTCTTGGAGCAAATGGTGACTCTGCTAATCCGGTCACAGAAATCATTAAAGGATTGTGCCCCTTATCCCGAGCCCCCGATTGATCTTGAATCAGTGTAATGGCTTTTTGTAAATCCACCCCCGGAGTTCTACTACACCACTGTCTCTTGAAAGAAGGAGATGTGTAACCATATGGGCCTGTCTTCCATCCTACCATGTCCCAGGATGTACACCAATGTTTTATGAGCCTCCCCCAGGGGAACAGACACATGTATACATCATATCCCCTCCACTTCTGTTCATTTGGTCCACATCCAATCAGTGAGCACAGATCTACTCGGAACACTTGGGTTCTGTAGGTTTTATTCAATTCTAATGTCACGACACCGTCCACCTTGCGGTGTGTACCCACTGCTCTAACCCTCCGCTGGAGTCCCCTGCTATTTTGGTCTTCTGCTTCTACCTGAGACGTGGTCAGATTGTTAACATTCTGTTCTAAGTTCTTCAGCTGTAATTCCCACCAGAGAAAAGGCAGAAACACTATCAGAGTAATGAAAAGGAGTACTAATCCTATGTTAGCCCCAGTACATCCTAGAGGAGTTCTCATGATTTCAGAGCTTGATTAACTTTTAGAATGCAAGATACTTTTATTGAGATGTAGATTACTTTTACGGCAATGATTATTAAAGAGATGCTTTCTTCCACCTCAAGGGATTATTTCCTTATGGGGAGCCTGAAAACGACTCCCTCTTCCCTTGAAAAACGGAAGTAGCGGCTCCTTAGTTTACTGACACCAATGTTCTGAGTCTCGTTTACTCTATATTCCTCGATCTTAACCGATATCTGGGCTCGTCCCCCTCCTCGGGCTCTTCTTCTGGACGAACAATGGGTTCGACACAATCTGACTGTACTTCCTTGGACAGCAGGGACAAGCCTATCCTGACATCAGCCAGGGTTCTTTCTGTTGGCGGGAGAGAGCGAGCGCAGTGCGTTTTGTGTATCCAATTACTTAATTTGTCCTCTTTTAACCACACTTTCACACAGTGCGTGGTTACTTCTGTAACTTTGTATGGACCTTCCCAGCGGGGATCAGTCCAACTGAATCTGGCTACTTTCCGTAGTACCCAGTCGTCCACCTCCACTGGTGCACACTCTCCTTCTTCTTCTCCAGAAAGGATCTCTGTCACCTGTTGAGAGATACTCATCACATTATTATTACAAATAGCCGTTAACAGTGGTAGTTGATGAGAGGCCGGAGCATCCCGTCTGATTTTTGACTTAGGTTTAAAATTATTACATTGATGCACATTCGCTCTGGCTGCATTCCCCTGATAATATCGGTTCCTATTACCTCTTAACCCCTGTCTCATAGCGCTCCATCTGAGTAGATGACTGTGGTTTTTGTGACTCTAGCGCTGCTCCATGCTCCTGAAATTCCTCGTCCCAATCATCTGCAGGGCCAGGCTCATCTTCCTCTGACTCAACCTGCCTCCCCCGCTCATCCTGTCCATGCCGGGTGATTGATTGCCGCTCTGCCTGGGCTATGACTTCTAACAAAGTCTCTTCTCCTGCAACTCTTCCTCCCCCTACATTAAATGAGGTCATAGGTCTGTGCTCGGGTTGCTTCTTTACGACTGTCGAGTGACCCTGTGGTGTGTTAGGATTACTCCAATCGACAGGCTCCGGCTGGGGACTGTCTTCCAAATATTGTACCGTCTCTGAGAGAAAAGCAGAAACCTTATCCACCCCATCATTCTCTTCATGTGGGTATGGGGTTACCTGTAACAACCCTTTTTGAACTACCAAAACCTGAGATTCTCCTGAATTAGTAGCTTTCCCTTGCCTCAGTGGCATCTGATGTGGTTCATTTAACAACCGATTAGCCTCCGAATATGGGCCTGTCGAGTAGGGAGGAGGCGCACTAGATTTACAACCGGTCTCATGCACTTTCTCTTCTCCTGCTTTGGTTTGCGGCAACTGCATTGCCGTCTTACTCACGAATACCGCATTTATTTCTCCCAGAAATGTTCTACAGTCCACTAAGAACTCGTCTGCCTTTTCTGCACTTTTCTTCTCTTTTCCACAAAATCTCCCTTTAACGGCAACGGCAAGTCTTAAATAGGGCGAGTCCCTTCTTTACACCTCTCCCATATCGTTATGGTTTCCTCCATTTTCATCACAGGTTATTTATTTATTCACACGTGGTTTTTGAACACAAGAGAAAGGACTAAATGCCCAATACTGTAAAGCCAATCAAGAACCTTCTACTGTATTAGAGGAATACAGCGCTCGATTGTTGAGGCTTATAACACCAGTTCACTCGTATTGTTTTATTTCTCTCGTATTTATACCACCATCATTTAACTATGTTTTTCCCTTTTACCCTTTAATACATATCCCCACAGATGTGTAATCCGGTCAAACACTTTTCACTGTCGGATTCTCAGTCCTTTTTCAAGGTTCGGTAAAACACCAGGAGTTACACCAACCACCCACACATTTCCCAGTATGAAAAACAACAAATCTTTCCCTGTGTCCTTATTTCTTCATCTAATATTCTAACCTGCCAGTCCACGAATCACACAAGTAGGACTGCAGGACCAGAGGTATCTACGTACCACACGGATTGCAATTTGGATTTCTACAGACTAAGATTAACATAAATTTACCTAAATCCCTGCTCTATTCTAAACTGCCAGTCCACGACATGCAAACGTGGGACCCCAGTCACCATAGGTATCTACGTACCACACGGATTGTAACTTGGATTTCTACAGACTAAGAGTCGACCTCAGGGAACTCAAGTGAGCCCCGTCGTTCCTTTTTAAACTCTTCATATATTTACCTAAGTCCCTAAACCTAAACCCCTACACTATTATAAACTGCCAGTCCACTGCATGCAAACGTGGGACTGCAGTTACCAGAGGTATCTACGTACCACACGGATTGTAACTTGGATTTCTACAGACTAAGAGTCGACCTCAGGGAACTCAAGTGAGCCCCGTCGTTCCTTTTTAAACTCTTCATATATTTACCTAAGTCCCTAAACCTAAACCCCTACACTATTATAAACTGCCAGTCCACTGCATGCAAACGTGGGACTGCAGTTACCAGAGGTATCTACGTACCACACGGATTGTAACCTGGATTTCTACCGACTAAGAGTATATATATTTTTACCTAAATCCCTAAACCTATGGACACTTATTCACTTTCCCTGACGTTGAATTCAGTGTGAGTATGTGCTTATACTTTACATGTGATCAACAGGAAATTTTCTAATTTAGTTTCAAATTTAGTGGTCTTATAACGACCTTATTCAGGCAATGGACAGAGACGAATTCTGCAGTTGACAACAAATCTTTTTAGAAGTATCCAATCACAGACATTTTATTCATTTAGAACAAAAGGTTGTCTGCTCACCTGATTCTGTTTTGCGCGCCTGTTGTCAATGCTGAACCACGCCGCCGGTCCTTTCGGCTCGGTCCGGAAAACGGACGTCCCCGTCTTTCTTTGTCCAGGTCAGCAAATCACGTCGGGGTCACCAAATTGTAAGAATACGTGTTCAAGATTTGGAGCCTGGTCGGGGTTATCAAAAATTCAGCCGAATGACTTCTCTCGTTCTGGGAAATTTATTTGTCAGATCACAGGTCAAGTATTAGCGCTGCGTTTGCAAAGGCAGGAGCAGTTCAGGCAGCACACAGGCCGGAAGAACAACTGACTAACATCAGCAAGAACATCATGTTTTACAACCCTTGAAAGACAGAGAAGGAAAGATTTCTATTGGCCCTAAACTGGCGTAGAGGAGGACCTTCCACCGCCCGCATCTAAAGATCCGTCACATCCAATGTCCAGACTCCTGACTTAACGTAAACATCAGCGAACAGAGTGTGTATGTTGAATAGTGTTGGTGTGTCTCTAACCCCCCTTGGCTGATAAATCTGCTAGTTGACCCGCAGACCTTGCATTCCTCAGCCAGGACATAAACTGACTCCCCATCCTGTCAGACTCGTGTCTGCCTGCTTGGCAGATCCTGCTTCCCCCCGTGCCTAACTCTTGAATCAAGACAAGACAGCAAACCCCCAACTAAGCCCATGAAAAGAACTTTTGATTATCAGTTCTCATATGTTGGTATTCCATGTGATCTGTGAATGGTCTTTGCACCAATGTCCAAGACTGCCAAGGTATAGACAGGAATGTTTGGGATGGGAGGAGCCTACTCGAGGCACAATGCTGACCGTCTCTTCAAAAAACTAGTCAAGAACAACATCCTGGAGGAGGATCTTTACATCACCATCAACGGCCAAGCCGTGTCGTATATATCTGCTGGACCCAAAGCCATGAACGTGCTGTCTGGACACATGCAGGTCACCTGACTTATATTGACTGTTGTGCGCCATGAAGAGTGTAACATTTGATGAAGGATAAATACATATGAAAACTAACCGGCACTGGTCTCATTGCAGGTGGAGTTCTATGAGACTGAGAGTGCGTCAAGCATCAGGAAACATAAAGCTGCTGTGACCACGAACGTCTCCCAGAGAGAGCAGAAGGTTCAGGAGTGTCTGAAGGAGCTGACAGATCTCTGCAAGCAGCTTGGAAAAGCGTTTGGCATCCACTATTACAACATCTTCTCCACTGCTGCCTTAAAAAAGATTGCCGGTAATTTCTCAGACGGTCGACTGTCCTTTTTTTCCCCAAATGCCTCATCTGATACAAGCATGTTGTAACTTCTTATTTTTCTGCACATTTACAGAGAAGCTCTCTCCTGACCCGGAGGTCCTCCTTCAGATTGATAGTGTGACTGAAGACAAACTGGAGAAGTATGGCGCTGAGGTCATTCAGGTCCTAGAGAAGTACTCTTGAGTGGCAGCTGCCTGGTAAGGGAACAAAAGAAAGCTTATTTCAAGTTTGCGTACATTATTTCCTTCAATTTTACGCATTGTGCCAATGATCCTACGTTGTCTCTGTTGCAGAGGAGCCGACTGCAACCACGGGAGATGGGTGGATAGACACGGCACAAGGCCGTTCGTACGGAGATGACGATGGCGACGCGTACTTCCGTGAAGCTGGAGATCATATTTAGTAAAAAGCTGAAATTCACTTTATTTCCCTCCCCTCTTGCTGTGGTGTTGCAGTTGTGGCTACAGCAGCAATAAGTCGTGGTCGTCGTCCGGCTCCAGAGGCGGGTCCAGCGCTGCGGGACGGGGGTCCAGGAGCTCGACGGGAGACTTTTCAGCCAGCAGGAAACCGGACTTCCTAAATGTGCCGGCCCCTCAAACCAACCAGCGACCCTTTTTAAAGCCCACCTTTTCACATTTGGGGAAGCTTCTTGCGATCTGACTTCTAGGGTAGCAGACTGCTTTGTCACTACAGATTTAAATATTTGTTGTTAGTAATGGTTAATCAGTATTTACCAGTTATATCAACTGTTTATTGAAACTTTTAACATTGTTTGTTATGTACAGTTGAGTGTTTTGCTTATTGTTCCTTTTCACTGTCCATTTTGTTTATATTAAAGAATAATTACCTAATTAAAGCCATTTATTTATTTTGAATAACTATCATTTTTATTTCTGTCAGAAAGGCAAGCCGTGTGCTAAATGTGTGTTGTACTACAAAGCCACAGGGAGACACATTGTGTTTTTAATCAATGTTTATTTTATACTGACTTGTACAGAAGGTTACTTACAGCACAAACATGGGACTGAACAAGAACTGGATTTGGCACAAGGATTTATATATATATTAACTTGTGTGTGTGTATAACGCAATTAAACAGCAACCTGCAATCCCAGGATAACGATGCAGACTACAAAACACACCACCAGACATGGATATGCACACACACATACGTGTTGTTGAGGGTCTGCTGATGGGGGGGGGGGGGGGGGGGGCAGTAAGGAGCAGATCATGATCTCTTTGGTTATGACTAGTTAAGTTTATGATACGTCATCCCAATTAATGTGACAGGGTTTCGGCAGGATTCAAATTTATGTAGCTAATTGTGCATAAATGGCTTGATTCTGATCATTAAAACATGAATATGTAGTGGGGTTTTTTTGTATCACATACGAGTTCAAGCATAGAGTGGACAAAATAACATGAACACCTTATAGGTTCCGTAAGAAAACGCCACAAAGAACGACCTCAGAAATGACCCCAAACATGCCTTCTTAAAAAGATTTAAAGTTTCACAAAGTTGGTGATTTTCTGTTATTGCCTCTTCTTCCTTCTCCCCCAACATATATTTAATTCCAAGACAAGAATTGATGCTTCAACCTCCAGTGACCCACGTTGTATATGCATGCCGTTACCTGCTTTTCAGGGACGACCCAGCGGTTTCTGATTTGTAAACCACGGATGACAATCACACGCATTCATCAAAAGTTACACATCTGACTGCAGTAATCTCCCTAAAATAATACGGCAACTGAAATGTAAAAGTAGAGCCAGGGTTGTCGTAGGAAACCTTCAAAGACATTAAGCCTCAGTGTGCATTATAAAATGTTACAATTGGATGAAAACCGTTTTTTGGGTGAATTGAGTTATGACCCAGGCATAAGGAACAACCTGTCCCTTAACAATGAAACGGCAAAGAAAACAGCAGAACAAACATCTACACGAGAGGTCTCTGAGGAAAATCAGATTTTTATAAAATGTCATTAATGAATGCAACAGTGACTAATTGTCTCAGTTGGCACGTCATCGCTAGACAGGAATTTTGTAAGTGGTTTTCTAGAAACAAAAAGAACATATTTCACTTAGTCTGGTTTTTCATACAGAAGTTTGTAAATTTTTGCTCTTACAACAGATTATTGCTCATTGAATAACGCTGCCTTTTCCTTTTTTTTTATTGTTGCATGTTCAGAGAGACCACTGGAGCTACATAATGCTGATAGATGTACGATGAACACCTTTAAAAGATGTCCTGTGAACCAGCCTGGCTGGACGAGTCATGTTGACCTTTATGTCAGTAAAGCAGTATTAAATGTGAAGTATGAAAATACACACAAAGAAGTGAAGAAGCAAGAAACCTCTAAAAAAGTCATTTGATGTCACTCGAGGCTTCTGTATTTCCTTCTTTTGCTTCCTCCTTTATGCCTTTTGGCAAAATGTTGTTTGCGTTGTTTTTTTTTTTAAAGTCTTTCGGTCTAATACTTCACAGCTAGCGCCTTCAGCCTCCACTTTCTACATGCAGACAGTCGCGCTGTAGAAAAACATGATTTCACCCAGAATCCTTTGGTAGTTATTGCTTCCTGGTGGTGTGAGGCTGGAGAGTCTACTCGGCAAATCTAAGGGCAGATAATACTTTTCAATATCGACTTATTGCCGGAATATTTGTATCTCCTTTCATGTTGGCTGATGATCAACAGAAGGAAGTAACTTCATCATTTAGAAAAAAAAAATCATTCTTGGTTTACTCCTGACCAAATGTTTTGTTCATTTCATTACCTATCAATCTGCCAATTATTTTCTAGACTGATCACTTGTTCAGTTGATGAATTGTGAAAAGTGACCATTCTAATCCTACTTTTCTCAAAACCATAGGCAACATATCACAATTTGTTTTCTTTTTACATCCGACCAACATTCCCAATCCCAAAGATATTCAATTTACAATGACGAACAGAAATGTAAACCAGAAGGTTTACCTGAAAATCTTTCCTTGAAATATGACAATTATTTGACAATCAAAATATCTGGCAATTAATGTATATCAGTTGTTCAAGTAATCATTTCAGTTGTAGTTTTGTTTCCTACTCTTCAAAATGAGTTCCAGCGTGAGGATAGGTCATAACTCACAACACGCATCAGTCAGGCTCCACGTCACTGCTCCACGTCACTGCTCCAAACGTCTTGGAAATAAGAGAGGGTAAATGTTAATGAATGGTTCAAATGTGCTTTGGGACTATTTGGTATTTTTGATAGTATAATGACATCACCAGATTTCCCACTGTACAAATACATGTTCATTAATATGATCATTACAATTGCACGCACACCAAAGGCTGATTCACTGCTGCTGGTGTGATGAGATGTGATCACTGTTGAGTGGATCTGGATAAAAAGCCTTTTTTTTAGTCCCCACTTCCGCATTTCCATAAATGCTTCTGACCTGACTTGAAACACAGCTCTAAAAAAGGTATAATTTAATCTTCAATAACAAAATAACATTTCGTTCTGTTAAAATATACATGGAAAACTTATCAATATATATTGGGAAACAAACTAATTTGTACAAAAAGTACATCAGTATTCTTAATCTTTCTTCTAATAATAATAATAATAATAACATAGAGTGTTACATATACCTAAGAGCAAGGTTGATATGAAACCAAAATGAATCATAAACTCGTCGTACAAAGAAATAATTGAAATTCATCGAATTTCAACAAGCTGAAAAAGGCAATGAAGTTTATAGAGTAAACAGAACAACTGAAAAGAACTTAATCATTTAAACCATACGAGCATTGCACATCTGTCTAAAATAACATTATTGGTACCAACAAATTCTAGCTTTTTATAAATATTCATAGAAATCCCTAACTGTCGTCTGTTACACTAATGGTACTGGTTTATTTGTTTTTGTAAAACAACTTTGTTCTTCATGAATTTACTTTGTACAACAGGTGTACGGAAGCTAATTGTGTCTTTAAACAATGCACGGAATCCAGTCCTCAACATCTTCTCAAAAAAATGCCGTTCTGTAATCACCTGCTCTCTGTTTAACGAACTTTCCCTTCGAACTGCTGTTTATTTCTGTTGAGTTAATCTGCGTTTGGGCAGCGTCTAGTTAACCTCCTGATGAGGATGAACCAATATCAAAAGATATTAAATGACTTTGCTACAAATACACTGAGCAGCAAGCAGCCTGTCAACTGTAACACAACTCACTTCCATCTTCATTTTAATGGCAAATCAACTTCCTTATGTTCCGTTCTCCTGTTCTCATTTCATTATGCACTACATGTTTAAAAGCAATTAATAATAATCAACCATGACACGTTGTTTAGAAATCAACAGTTTAAACTCCTTCAGTTCTTTGATTTCAGTTGGATTTTTTTTTTCCTTTGTGTTATTTGAAAAAATAAAATACCTGAAATGAGTTGAAATAAAAAAAAATGCAAAAGGTCCTCTGGCTTTGTAGAAAACAAAAACGGGACAAGGAGATGGTTGGTTGGGGGGTCCGAGCTGAATGTCTGCAGGAGGACGATGAGAGAAGCAGGGTTCATGTTGGGACGAAGCTTCCCTCCATCACTCCGGAGTCCTGACCGCCGAACGGGGGGCGGGGGGGGGGGGGGGACAAACCCTACGACCTCTACGACCTCCGCGACCTCAATCCCCCTTGTTAATGAGCAAGCTGCCCGCCCAGCGGAGCTTGCAGGAAAACCACCGCCGGAGGGGACAAAAGTATTCGTAATGGAACTGCTCAAATTCGGGGGTCTGGCGGATATCACTTAAAAATGCCACGTCGAGGTCGGACTCCGTGAGGACGATGAGGAGGAGGAGCAGGACGAAGAGGAGCCCGACGGTCACGAGGAGCAGACGGAGGACACTCAAGACGAACTTATTCACCTGCTCCACCTCGCCGAGGGCGGAGTCGCCCCCCGCGGCCTCTTCCGCGGCCCCCAAATCACCGGCTTCCGCGCGCGACGGGGTGCCCGCCTCCGACTCCTTCTCCTCCTCGATGCTGCGGGGCGCCCCGTTGCTCTGGCGCGAGCTGGACACCTCCGCGCCGTGCTCGCCCACCGGGGTGGGCAGGACGCTGTCCGACGGGCTGTAGGCCTCGTCCGAGATCACCGCGCTCCTCTCGTCGGCGTCCGCGGCCTGGCTGCGGGAGCGCGGTATGAAGCACTCCCCGTGGGACACCGAGCGCACCGGCGTCGAGTGAGCGCTGTCACGCAACGACTCCAGGCCTGTTATATTGGGCGGAAGAATATTACAGACATGAAAGACGGTTGCTGATGTGATGCGGTCGTGCAGGAGCGTAACTAGTGCAATATAGGACGGAATCTGCACCGGTCTATTTTGCAGGGTGTCCAGTAGAGGTCTGTTACAGAGCAGAAATCAGCTCTAATGGAAGAAATCCACATGCATAGATGTTATTCAAAAAACACATACTGTACATACTTAAGATTAACTATACCTGATAAAGTTGCACTTTCAGAGCAGTAATCTCCAAACAGAGTCAAAAGGTTGGAGCATATTCTCAATATCTGCATTGAAGATTGTGTTGGAATGCTCAGTAATCATCATGGCTTTAAACACATAACAGACCACAAGGCTCATCCTTAATTTTGGATTAATTTTGTGATGATGAGGATACGTTTTACAACACTAACATGCTTAATGTCTGAGAGGTCGTCCCTTTACAACCCAATTCAAATTTAAGAGATGAGGGAGAAAATCCACAGGCCTGGTTCAGTGTAAAATACATTGCAAACATTCACAGGAATTTATATGATTATAGACGTATATGTATAGGAGGCTTGCAGTCTTTCATAATGCACATACGGTAGGTTTTAATTTAAGACTTGAAAGAATGCCTTAATGCTTTGAGAAACCTACAACCAGTCTGATTGCAATAACTGTGTTAGTTATCTATCCAGATTCAACAAATAAAAACAGCAAAATATATTTAACCTAAAACTAGAGCTATCCATATATCTGTATTTGTAATCTGATATTGTGAAAAAGAATGCACATTAATTTATAGCATTGCAACAGTTGTCTTATAACGCTGTAGATATTAAAGAATGTACACTGTACATCTGAAACTATTCAACAATGCATCAAGGCATGAAAAATATTTACTGCTTGTGTAACTCGACTGTTCCTTTTGCAGCAGAAGTAACAGAGCAGAATGTGAGAGCCTCGCTGCAGTGTGCACGTCAGTGACGATGAGCAGCAGTTAAGCCCTTTGCTGACAATATCACATTCTCAACGCGGCAACATTAGACCTTCATTGTAAAGGGAACGGATTAAAATTCAGCTTTTGATGAGAAAGCAAGCGGCTTTTGGGAAAACTGCAGGACAAGTAGGGTCAATTGTGCCCAGTGCGTAAGCCGCTGCTGACATGAAACTCCTGTCAAGTGATAAGAAGGAGGCATGACGGTTGGGTGACTGTCAGCAGCCATCTTTGCTCATATGTTGGTCTTTCTCAGTTTATCCCACAGCACATTGTGCTTACAAAGTGAGGTGGCAGGCGGTAATTCCCATGTTTACAGTTTATAATTTGAAAGACAAACTTCAAAAGAAACGCTTACAGCAGACACATCAAACCTCCTGAAATACTGGTTGGAACCCAAAATAGCAGCTATATAAAGAGTCGTCAGATCTCAAACAAATTAAATGACCCTCACAAACGAGACTAAACCGCACAGAAGGCAAAGACAACCACAGGAATGGTGTCGCTCCCTCCGCTCCAACACTTCCACGTGCCGACCCTCCGTGACGTTTACCTGGAGAGGCGTCCGGCCTAACGCAGGGCAGCGGAGTGCCGGGTAGAGGGCTGACGTTGGCTGACTCCTGCTGCCCCGTCAGGGCGGGGTAAAGGGGCAGGACCCCCAGCGCTTTGCCCAGCATACGAGGCCCCAGGCTCAGCACGCAGACCTTTATATCCCGGCAGCAGTGGTTGATCATACGCAGGTGGACGTTCACCCGCGTGGTGATGCGGATCAGGCACTTGACCATGGTTGCGGCATGCACGCGTTTATCCTGTCCTTGTGGTCCCCGTCCCAGAGTGCAGGCCACAGTCTCACTGTGTGTGTGTGTGCACGTGTGTGTGTTGAGCAGAGGTGGTCTGCCTTAGTTGCCAGGTTGCAGGGAGGAGCGTGCAAGGCCAAGCTGGGGCTTTCTGCAAAGGTGTCACAGCACGTTGGCATTGGCCTCGCCTGATCTGGCCCCACCCAGGCCACCGACATACATGGAGTAGAAGACTCTGGCTATTTTCAGCTGGCTTATTAATACCACTGTAAGAAACTCAGTCAGCACAGACTGGGAAGCAGGGGGGGGGCGGGGGGGGGGGCTTATATGGATCCGTTGAACCCACAGACAACACACACGGACAACACAAAGCGTTACAGTGCGTCATTAGTGGACATTTCCCAGAGCCATGCGGAACATGCAGAGGAAGTGAGGGCACCTGTTCTGGGCTCCCATTGGGCCAAATGGGTCCGGTTACATCGTGTGTGTGTGTGTGTGTGTGGAAGTGTAAAAAAAGAAAAGAAAAGTAGCTATCTGATCTATTTAGGATTCCATATGAGCCAACAATACCCACAAATGAATGTGAAGACTGAGATTGCAATCGCTACAGAAACAGACACATAATTTTTCAGTGGCTGGAGACGACGTGTAAATAATAAGACACTCACTGTGAGGCCTCTACTAAACACACTTTGTCTTGAAAACACACGTTTGCCATCCGGTATGTGTTGCTTGCGTAAGCCTGTGGGAGCACGGGAGAGGACGTTCTTACCCTCCATAATAGATATGTGCACAGCTCTCCGGCGCGTGCGCGGCACGCTGGTGAGGCGAGGCCCGTGGGTGATGGATGGACAACTTCTACTGGGCACAAGGCCAGCCCTGCAGAGGAAAACAAAAACAAAGAGGCACAAATATCACTGGAGACAGAAATAGCTGTGAGCAGAGGTAACGCATGCTGTGGCGAGCAGGTGCTGATGATATAAAGACATCTACAGTAGCTTGGTGCCTGAGAAAATTGAAGAAAAGCAACGAAAAAAAGGGATCGAGGACATTCTGTCCACTCCTGACTTTACAACTCTACCTGTGTATTTCTGGAGGTTCACGTTTGATTTTGGCACTCTGCTCCATCACCTCTTTTGCCACTCGTCCACTGTTATAAAGCACAGACACGGCGCTCAGGATGAGTTGCACAGACACACACACACACACACACACGCACATCACCGGGTGCCCTGGTGTCACCCGATGCTATGAAAGCCATCACTGCAGACTGTAGTCTGCAGTGTAGTACAGTGCATGAGCCTCATGATTGAATTCAGCTTTGTGTAACTGACTTACCACAGGTCAGAGAAAAGGCATACACAAAGAATATCAAAACAATGATCATGGTTTGCCCTTCAACAGTAAACTCAACATTTTACTGGCTGGGCTTGTGATTTTAGTTCATTTACAGTCTCCATGTATGAATTTTAGATTTCAAATGCAGTTGTATAAGTAGTTTTGGTTTGAAGAGCTCAGGTTTTGAGATATGAATATTCTGCCAGATATGAGGATATTCAACAGAAATTCTGAAACAGAAAAGTATTTTTTCAATTGAATTAAAATTCTATTCACCTCCAGACGCAAAAAAAGGTATATCTCAAAATCAAATCAAATAAAACAAAACTATCATACCGAGTTAGACACCACTAAAGATAACTCAAACATGTTTTTCCCTTGTGTGAACTGGTCCTTTAATAAAGGACAACAAGTGGCTCAAACAAGGCGATAATGCCTCATGCCATCAGTCCCCTTCATTGTCCCTTCTGTGTCCTCTGGTGAGGTGTCGCTCATATCTGCCGGGCAAAAGCACGCTGGCGTAAACGGCCAGGAGGCCACGTCTTCTGGGAACACTTCTCTCCACTTCCAGATGGGGGGGGGGGGGGGATTCTCACCCCTCCCTGTCATCAGTCATACTGTTGTGTACTCTACCTGAAACGGAACCGGCTGCCCTTGAAGAACAGGTTGCTGCTGGACACCATGCGAACCTGACTGGACTTTTCAAGCCTGGTGGAACAAGCATAAAAAATGGAAAATTAAGCCTACAGCACTGAAACAAGCAAAGCAGGAGGGAAAACTGTTATACATAAACAATACCCCACTTATTATGAGCTCCTAATAGAATCTTAACTTTGAAGTATGCATATTTGTTCTTTGTGTGCTTTCTGAATCCCAGAACAAAGCACAAAGTACAAGCAAATAACCTGCTATTGAATTATGTATGACATGTATGCAGAATAGGCACTGAATCCTCAACACCGCTCCATTCAATATGTTCATATTGTCACAGCGAGAGAGACATTAGATTAGATTAGATTCAACTTTATTGTCATTGCACAGGGTACAAGTACAAGTTAACTTAATGTTAAATGCTCTATTTTGCTTTCAATGTGTGCTTCTCAGAAAGACAAGACAACTTGTTATCTGGCCTTTTCGATCCCCTGGCTGACTCCTTATTAGATGACAAATGTAATAAGTGAGTTTTCAATCAAATATTATCATTCTTCCCCTTCACAGAGTCATCTGAAGGACGCATCATATTCACAATCCCCTTCCATGTCCTTATGCAAACCTTGTTTGGATTTGTTCAGCTGGAAGTAACAGAGGGGACCTGCAATATTACCCATTGCTGACACAAAGCCAGCCGCGTGTCTTGGGGGAGCGCTGAGGTGCTCGCAGTCTCGTGCCAGCACACGTTGATTGACTAAAAGGTCAGTCGAGACTCACACCTCACCCCCCCCTCACTGAGACAAACAAGCCAGAGGGAAAAGGGGATATAGAGGACACCACGGTGCTATGACGGAATCTGATCTGCTGACAAATGCCGTGACAGCGCGGGGAAATAAAAGACAACATTGAAATTAAATGAAGGAAGTAATGAATGAACTCACTTGTAGAAAGCTTGATTCTCCACTCCACACTTCCAAAGGTGCTTACATGCCTCCGGTGTAGGTGCAAAGTACGTCAAGATGATCTTTTTGTCCTGCACGTTTAAAAATGACAGAATGTGCAGGAAAATATAACTTACAGCAGGGCATGTGGACTGTAGTTTGCCTTCTTAGTTTTGTCCCCACATCCAACAATTCATGCTCTCACCTCCTTCTGATTTGCATAAATGTGGAACGTCTTGCCTTCAAACTTCAGTTTGGTCAACTCGTTCCTGTCCAAGCAAAACAGTCACACACACATAGGAAACCGAAACCAAAAGCCACAGCTTCTTTAAATATTCATGACAACCAGCCTGACATCACATAGACAGCCACAATGCTCTGTGTTTTGCTGACAAAACAATTAAGTTATAATATTCCCTGCAGACTGGGAATGGAGAACGAGGGTAACCTGAATGTTAACAAAGCCAGTGTGAATACTGCAACCATTCAAAGTCTCTTTGTTATTGTAAAACTAAACTTTTAAAGTTAATATTTAATAACATATTTTGACACATTTTCTATGAATTATTTAAGTATCATCCTGATTTAAATCAGTAGGTGTAAGCTGGTCTAATTAGCCATCTGTCCACATGCAGTGGGGTTTTGTTACAGGTAGAGGCAGATGGATGAGCTTTGCTGTGTCAGACTCTACAACCAGATGTAGTGCGAATACTGTTTTACCTTATAACTCTAAGCATGTAGAGCATGTGTGTCAAATCAGGTTAAATGAAGTTCTGCGTCACAGTGTGCGTTAGTCTATTTACATGCTGCAAGTGCTCAAGGAGCTACTGCTCTGGTGTCTCTGGATCACGCATTTACAATCTACACGCAACATTCAGACAATGTCGCACATTTGGCTCACCACTTGAGAAAATGAACCCTCTTGTTTCCCTGAAGCACCACAAAACCCAATGGTGTGAAGGCGAGGAAAGCAGGGTTCCCAGACACATCCTGTAAGAAAACAATGTGAAATACAAGTTGAATGCACACATTTGATATGAGTAACACGTAACTAATGAGACTGGTGGTTTTGCATGCATTGCATGTGCCATGATTCTTAATGCTCAAGTTGGACAGAACTGTTTGATGAAATGTTTACGGTCTAAAAAGAAACTGCAGTGCTTGAAAAACCTTGCATGGATGTGGATCAACACCATATGTCTCCAGCATCTGGGCTTTCTGGAGGAAATTGCGCTCTGATGTTTCAGGTGTCTGTCCACTGAGAAACAACACACCGAACATTTGTGTCAGTTCACCATCAGCATAAAATATTTAACGAAAAGTTTGGAAAGGCTAAAAACTTTAAGGGCAGTTACAAATTAATACATTCATTTAGAGAGATTATCCACATCAAAAATAATATAAGAAAATAAATATATCGGGATATTTTTAAAAAGCAAATAATTATCTCCACTTTAACTCTTGTTCTATTTGGGCTGTCAAATTCTCGTGAGCTTTCCGAGCGAATCTTTGTTCGTTTGGTGGTGATAAGAGAATAAACCACCAGATGGCAGCAGAGTCTCATGGCGTTTGTCATTCGGCCTTTACGCTATCAAAACCAGACTTGATGTCTTTCTACCTCAGTTACATTAGGCATAATAAAATAATTATTTGACAAGTACATCCATCATATCTAATATATGTTGGGGGAGTTGGAGTGATCGACATGTAAATGAATCCCTTCACCAGCTCACTGGCTGCGTGTGTGTGTGTGCGTGTTAGTGTGCGCGTGTGTGGTTGATCTATATGATCACTTTCATTATTACGCTCAGCTCTCCGTCATTAGAGTGGACAACCAAGTGCTTTTCTGTGCTAGCTGCCAAACTAAGTGCCACTGATCAGTCCGGCCAACCCAATGCAAAGAAATGGTGCCACATTACTGATTACTTATGTGATATTAATTTCAGAGTAAATCTGCTTTGTTCCGCCTTTATAAGAGCATGATGTGTAGGTATTTATTGATGTTGCCATACGGGCTCTTACATAAGCTCTGTCTTGTGTATGTCTGCGATTTGACGCTCCAGCTTCTCCGAATGCTTCGGGAAGAACTGGAATTTGGAGCTGTAACCTTCAGAATGCTTCCCAGGGTCGTAATTTCCGATCTCAGCTGGAGAGAGGATCAGAAAAAGAAAAGTGTTTAAAAATTCACAAACATTCAGGGCGCATTAGTCGAAATGATGTGCACAGCTTTAAGCACGGTGCTGCTTTCGCAGGCTGAACATGCCCAGGAATATTTGTGCTGCTTTCTGCCACACTGCACTCCCTCGGATGACCCTGATGCTGATTTCTCTCTGCTAGGAGGAGCTGACCAGGCAGTGCATCTTTAATTCACCAGCCCTTCCTCCAGAGGACCTGCCTCTCCTCAAACACTGTGCATTCTGTGATGTTAGCTGAGCCGCCTTACCTGATGTGTATTTTTTATTGTAGGTATGTGTGTGTGTTTGTGTGTGTATGTGTGTGTGTGTGTGTGTGCGTGTGTGTGTGGTGACCATAAGCTGCCATATTACTTAAATATTAATTTTTTTAATATTACTTAATATTTTAATTAATAAATATTTTAAAGCCAAGTGTGGTTTCTTCATTCAATAGAGCGTACAGATCACAATTTTTTGTTAAAGCAGAAAAATCAAAATCAGTGTGAACTAGAGGCGTGCGGTAGAACAGAGGTCACACAACGCAGAGCAAACTGTTCCGTGTCGTTCTCATCCGTCACTTTCCGTTACCTTGAAGGATGTGTGCCGCCAGCACGGCCGCGTCAGAGGTTTTACACAAGAGCCGACCGTGGTAGAGGTCTCTCTTGATTTGCAGGAAGACGAGATATCTAATGGGAAAGACAGATGTGTGTGACAGGCCTGCTGAAGAGAACGCTGATGACATTCACTCATCCGGGTTCATTTCACAGTGACACAAAGATTCGGAGCAGGAGCGGCAAAATTACAGTTGAGTTCATAATCCCTTTGGCTGGTTTGTATATTTCTTTTTGATTTAGCGGAAATTAGGGTTTTGTTTTGGGGGAAAGGAGAGTAGAGAGGCCCTGGGGGAAAGCTGCTACTGATGCTGTGCTCCTCTTGAAGCCTCCAGCCTAGTTTCACACTCGCCCAGCCAACTAAAGCATTTTCTGACGCGTATTTCACTATTGTGAAGATGGCTAAAAGTGTCATCACTACAGGAGGTGGCCGTGTTAAATTCTTACATTACAAACTCGCTGAAGCATGAACAGAATATTAGACGTTGATCTTGTTTGTTTGTTTTTACAATCAGCCAGCAGACCTGATCTCCATCCAGCATCTAAGGAATCTCCATTTGCACAAAGGATAATTATGCTTTCTGTGTGGAGGGACGCATTAAAAAGCTCCTCGTTGTTTACTCTGCGGTGAGAAATGGGTACATTAAGTGCTGATGCCTGCTGTTGTTTTGACTGTTTTACAAAAAATATTCATAATACAAACATGCAGTCAGAGACATTGTCCACTATTTTACCACGGTGGAAAAATGTCCTCTTCATTTGAAATCCCTTTTTTGAACTTTAGCTGCATATTAGCTTTTGAGCTTTCAAATGTTGAAATGTGTATTGTTGACTAAAATCTCCAGAGCACTTTGAGGAGTCGCACATTTTTCCTAAGTTTGTTTTGGGGAAGCTCAGGTGGAAAGCATGTTAACACTACTGAATGTGTCTATTTTACAGAATCCATTTTTCAAGTTACAGTGTGAAAAACACAGGCGTATGATACAATTAATGATGTATGAATTCAATTTAGCTGCTTCAGTTTCTCTACTTTTGTGTCTTTCCGGACACATGAATAGAACAAGTGTCTATAGACTTTTCATTTGACATTAACTTTAAATTAATTAAAAAACATCCTTGTACAATATGATGAGAGGAAGTACCCGCTGAATGAGCCTCGTATGTGATTGATTATTCATCTGTTCCTTCCCTCTGTGCTCTGTACTCTCAAGTCTCATCAATATGTGTCACTCTCTCCTCCTCACCCCCAACCTGCAGCCCTTCAGTCACCCTCAATTCTTCTTTGCACTCTCCATAAGTACTCTACACGTGGTGAACATTACATCTATTTACACCTCACACAGAGAGAGAGAGAGAAGCCTTCTAGTCAATGATGAATGCAGTCTTCACTATCTAAAGTAAGTGTTAACTCAGTCACCTTCATGCTTTTAATGAGCCTCTTTGAATTTTCTACAATTTTAAATCTGAATCTCATTAAGGAAGAATTAGACTTAAAGGAAATGTGTGCCATCAGACACAAAAATACCCACGCTGCTTCACAACTGTGCTCCGTGTAATATAGATTGTCGTTATGTTTTAGTCGGATGAGTACTTAAGCATTTTAATTATGCAGATCGTTGATGATCTCCACTATAGGAAGATCCATAATAAACCAAAAATTGGAAAAAGGACGAAGCACAGCTGCTTGTCACAGAATGGCAGTCTTTCTCTTTAAAGTACAGCTTAGCAGTGTAGATCATTTATCAATACATCTGAGGTTAAAGGAACAGGAGCTCATACCGTGTGATTTCTTCCTTTAGAAAGGCGGGTTCAGGCGGGTAGAACTTGACCCTCAGACACATGGTGAAGGGAGGCTGACCTGGAGGACAATAAATGTTTTATTGATTCCTTATATTGAGATAAGAGATTAAACATCATTCACAGGTGATTAAATAATTCTCCAATATAATATATATATATATAAATAAATGAACTATTGATTACCCAATAAAAATAAAGCAAACATGTCTATGTCTAATTTAATATCAGTGCAGATTTCTTGTTAAGATTCCAACATTATAAAAATGATGACTACTTACATTTCATTTGCTTTGCAATTGACTTTGTGACCTCCAACCAGTGCTGCATTGGAAATAAAAACAGATAAATGCATAAATCATTGAATTGAATAATGAGAATGTGTATGGCATTCTTTTGAAATCAGGACTCGAGGCACACTGGACAGTTTCATGGTGTCTTTGACCAGATTCCGACTCTTCTTTCTCACTTGGGATCATGTTGTCTCCGTCTTTCTCCAAGGAGGCCAAACACAACCAAGCTACCCACACAACAACCAACCAAAATAGTCCTGAGTGACAGCATACAGTAGGAAACGCAGCATCAGCGGGACTTTGCTCTTGTCTGCTGGACTACAACATGATCTGTGAACGCGTGAATACTTCATGAGTCAAGCAGCGCCACCGCATGCATCACAGCAGAGAAGAAGAAGCAACGCTGGATCTAAAAGGCGGCGTGAATAAAAAAAACTGAAGAACACACTAAAATAAACTAAAATAAACCCAAATCCATTATTAAAAGTATAGCCACTCGTGTGATTTATATATGGGCACAAAACAACAACCTTTAAGACATTGTGACACGGTGGATCTCCTTCGACAAGTAGAAACTTTGCATTTTTGTTTGAAATATCAACGAGGCTCTATTTCAGGACTCTAAAGTACCAGCTCAACCTTTGGGGAAATACTTTGATGAGATGGGCAACCGTGGGAGCAAATGATGAAGCTTCATACAAACACAAATGATTAACTAGAGCACTACACTGTACAATGGATCTTATAATTGGAAAAGACTGCCAAACACACATTGTTGCATGATATGATAAAAACCTCTCAGTTTGTGATTTTGGGACACGTACTAACTGAAATAAATGATGCAAGTGCACACAAACACGCTGTGTCATGCTAATGCACACATACCCGCTGCTTGTCTGGATCCACATATCTGATACCAAAGTAGTCTTTCTCCAGCAAGTTGAGGTGATGGCAGATGAGGTCAAACAGATACTGACCCTTTGCATCCCGCTGTGACAGAAGAGAGAAAACAAAATTCATGAGCATGAGCACAAAAAAAAGAAAAAGAAAATCACAAACATTTTAAATATGTAGCCAAGACAAGGTTATAAAAATAACTTCGGTCCTCGGTTCAAACATGAGAAATCATTTTTGCGGGCAGAATATGTTTCGGTTTGTTTTTAAACCCTGCCAGTGATTTCCCAGATTCATCCAATATTAATACAAAGTGTCTGGAATAAACCTTATTCACCCATAAAGCAGGAGCTCGACGAGGCTGAAATCTCACTGTGGTTTTGTGACAGTTATACTCTGTATTCTCAACCTCACGAGGAAGCTTCTCTTAGAGAAACCCTCCCGTATAAAGCAGCACAGAAAATCCTCCACTGCGTCTACTGAACATCCAATACCCCTCTTCCTGTTTGCAACAATGCATGTGCATACCACTGCTGAACATCTGGATCAATGGGACCGATTGTGTTGCAGAGATCCGACAGTATCAAATAACACCGTCCCATCGCATTCACTGTTTAGACACTGAATCAATGGTAGGACGGAAACAGGGTAAAAGCTGCTCAAAATAATGAATTGCGTTCCGTCCATTGAGGGGTGCCAATACACAATCACACTTCGGTCACTGTGAAGGGTTATAGAATCAATTCAATAATTTCATTGACACATGTCTCTTACTTTGCCCCAAAGAAATAGCAATGTGTCCGTGGAATGAAGCACTAAAAAGCTGTAGGTCGGTATCGGCAACACAGCTTGATCATATTAAACGCCTTGTTGTTGCCTTTAATAAATCACGTGTCACATGTTGACTGAGGTCGAATGGGCACAAAAGTCTCACATAACGGCTCACGAGGAGTGCACTATAAATTCAACGCTGCCGGCCACAGTGAATCATCTCAGCCCTCCTTCGTGTGACGGAAAATACCCTTCTCCATGTCATTGCACGGCTGCAGATAAGAATCCCTTCCTTCTGTCGATGTCGGGCCTGTCGCTTAACCGCCGTGACTCTCTGTGACCAAATGGCGGCAGAAGCTCTGCTACTTGGGGTAACTGACCTTTCTGTGGCGAGAGGGCTTCATGGGTGCTAGCCGCTGTCACTTTGAGAATATTTCCTTTGTTACATAATTTACCAATCTGACGTGCCGGCTAGTTTGAAGGGGCACAATCCTTGTGGTGTGCGCAGGCGCATGAGCACATGTTTGAATTTAGCTTGAAGAATCACAGACACTGGCATGCGGACAAATAAAAAATAAACTGTCTCCTATAGTCAAGGCACAGAGGATTGCAGACTATCCCCGCCTGGTTTGTCATTGAAGAAGCAGATTTCTTGGTTGAGGTATGGAAAATAATCTGCTAATGCATCTAAATATAGTTATAAATTATGCGCACCTAAAATGCAAAAACTCAAGATTTTTTTTTTCTGTTTTTAAATGATAAATGCTTTCTCCTGTGGTTTCATCATCTGGTTGAGAAGCCTACTAGAGGCAATAACTGGGAAGAACAAAGCCCACCACGGATAAAAAAAAAAAAACGGTTCTGTATGGAGAGGACATACTGAGTCAGAAAAGACATCTGCTCCTTTAGTGCAAGGAATGAGTTTGTTAGTATTCAACAGCACTCCAACAACTCCTGTCTTTCTTCCCCCTTCCTTTACCCTCTACTCCTGTTTCTGCGTTATTCCCCCGCTGGTCCCTCTAATTACAGGCCTGAAGTGATTGCAACAGAGAAAGGATGTCCAGCAATTCCTAATTAACACTAATGAACCTTGTACTCGCCTAGATTGCCATCTCAATATAGCCCTACAGGAGCCTCAATACATTTACAAACGGGTTGACAGGTGAAGACCTACATACTGACGATATCCATTAGTGCTGTTGTATTTGTCTGCCAATTCTCTAGAAAATAGAGTTAATAAATTGCCAGAAAATAATAGGATGAATTGTTATAATGCAAATGGGGTTGGGTTTTCCTTGACTGTGAAGTTACAAATGGCCCTTTCATACAAAACAATGTAGAAATAATAGGTTTCACACAACGTGAATATGCCCGACAGAGGAGGCGAAGAAGGGAAAGACACATTCTCTCTGACTGCATCAACTTGAAAACACCGTAATAGTTGTTTTACTTCCTAAAAAGCCCCTGGTGTGCAATGGGCACTTTCCTTTCAGATTAATCATTAAAATGGTCTCTATGTCAATGCAGGAGCACAGACCATTAATAAAAGATTGTATCACTTTACTGGTGAGACGAGCGGAAAAACACAATGCCATTGACTGCGTGGGACTGTGTGTGTGTCTGTGTGTGTGTGCACAGGTACATACTGTCCTGGGGTTATTTCTTTGGTTTGATATGCAGATTACTTTCTTTTGATGGAGGCTGAGCAGTTTCCCGTGCTGCCCGAGCTGCATGGGGATCGAGTCGTGACCCAGACAGACAAGGCTCAACGCACAACCACTTACAATTAATAAAAAGCTCTCTTTGCTGTAATAGCGTGTCTTTTTCTTTCAAGTCATGAACTGGTTTAGTCAAGTATGCAGGTGTTATGAACCAATATATTGATTTTAAATCAATAATCATAGAAACATGATGATAAAGTGACAAAACAACATTGAAAAGGTTCTGTGATGTCACAGTGACGCCTTGAGGAACAACACAGCACAAAGACAAAGCAGATCAAACCGAAGCCCCAAGCGAGTGCAGAAGGAACAGATTTTTCTTTTTAAATGTTTAATTCATGTGAGAAATGGAGCGCTTTAACAGCAAAGACAGATTCATGGGATGCAGTTGTCATAAGCAAGATGATGCTGTGAACCAGAAACAGTTTGCAGGACAATCTTACCAAGTGGGAAAGTGGGCCATCAAAACAAGATGGGGATGGGTGAGGAATCAAGAGAGCAAGTGCAGCTGTGGATGGAGCGATATGGATAATTGCTTTTAAAGCTTCTTGGAATAGGTGAAATGTGAGTTGGCATTAAAAGAGGAATTCATGAGAGAGGATTATTTTTTTCAGCTTAATGGCGAGTACTCACAGTTGATGTTTAACTCTCCCCCTGCTTGACAATGTTGGCGATGTTTTCAATAAATCAATGACATTAGGACTGTAGGATATTAGAAAAAAATATACGACTCGGTTCATAAAATTAATAAAAATGCATATAGTGTACACCAGAATACAGCCATGATTCTGAAACTGTAATCAATAAAGTAATGACAATATTGTAAAACCACTGTAATTCTGCAACTGTAATAGAATAATACCAATGCAGTTATGATTGTATTTGATGTAATGTAATCAACTGGAATGCATGCATGTAATACTTGAACAACAACTGATATTGACTAAGGATCATTCAAAATCCTCACCAACTCACCAGAAGACCACTCCTCAGAAGGAACCTCGTGGCATCATAACTGCCAAACAGAATGAAACACATGAGCTAGTTGAATTTAGCATTAGCCTTTTCTACTAGAAGGCACCCACGTGACACCCTGTCATGACTCCTAGCGATCTCAAACACCTGTTACATTACAGGTCATTTAGCAGACGCTTTTATCCAAAGCGACTTACATTACACTTTAAACCCATGGCTTTTTCACATTTTTGCCCGGGGAGCAATGTCACTTCGACATGGAACATGGGGCAGCCTGGACTCGAACCACCAACCTTGTGCTTCCCAGCACACCTTCTCTAACCCCCTCTAACCCCTGTGCCACGACGACCCCCCGCTGATCTCCACTTGCTCATCAAAACCCCAACAAAGAAACAAAATTCAACCAAAGCCTTGAATGCCACGAAAACCAGGATCATACCAGGTAAGTCATTCACAATATGAAAACAGAAAAAAAAAATTAGAATAATCAGTATAATAAAAAAGAAATGAAGATATCTCGCAAATGTAAATGTACAGTACCATTTCAATCATTGATACCTCGTAGTCCAGCCAAAGGCTATCCCTTAAGAATTAGAATGAGAAAGGGTAGCAAGTCCTTTCAACACCCACAGGAAAACATGCCCGTATACATGTTAATACACAAGATATCAAAGAATACACACAGTACAGTACAATACAATACATCCCACCCAGAGTCACACACTACTGGTGGTGTTATACAGGGCTCTACCGTACAGAAAAAAAATACATAAAACTCATCCCAACAGTCAAAAAAAAAAACATGGAACATGTCTCATTCACAAGTAGTCAAAAAAACATTATAACCATGACAAAGCTTTCTGGTGCATTTGCTGGATAAGCCTCAAAACGGGTCTAACAGCCCTCCCACACCTAGTCCTCACCCCCAATGACCCCTCACTGCAAGCTGCGCTAATTCGAGGACAACGCTCATCTGACCTGACAAGAGAACCGCTGTCAGCCGGCTGTGCATCAATTAGGGCCCCAGAGGCAACTGCTTGAGAGTCAGTCAAGACAGTCGGACCTTAGGGCCATATGGGACTCTAGTCAGTCGATGCAGCATACTCGGCTGAACAAAAGGCTCGCGACTGAGGGCGTCAGCAACCACATTTTTAGGGCCAGGAATGTACTTGATTCGAAAGTCATATGGAGCAAGTTTCGCCACCCACCTCTGCTCACAGGCATCAAGCCTTGGTTTAGTGAGAATGTAGGTCAGTGGCTTGTTGTCAGTCCACGCAGTGAACGGCTGGCCTTTCAACCAATGACTGAATTTGTCACAAACAGCCCATTTCAGAGCTAGAAACTCTAGCCTGTGCGCAGGATAACGTGATTGGGCATAATTGAGAGACTTCGCAAAAGCCACTGGTCGTGCCACGTCATCGCCCTCCGCCAGTTGTGACAACACAGCAGCTCCAAGGCCATTGGATGAGGCATCAACGGACAGCAGGAATGGCTTACTGAAGTCGGCATGAGCCAGGGTGGCATTTTCCAATAACGCCTGCTTCAACTTAGAGAAGGCTTCGCTGCATTCCGGGCTCCAATCAGCCAACGTTAGCTTCTTAGCCACAGGTTTCTTCCTACCTTTGGTAT